GTGCAGCCTGAAAAGTATTGATCTAGTTATTGGAGATGCCTGAATTTACGAAGCAACTTCTGAGTGGAAAAAATATTTGAAAAAAGTCATTTACTGAAATTTTTGGCCACTTTGTCTTCTAAATTGGTACTAATTTTTTTTTTAGAACAACATAATTTGACATAACTGACATAAGAAATTAAAAAAAAAGTACAATAAAATAAGTTCAAAAGATATACTTTGTGCTAAAATTAAACTTATATTGTTAGATGCACTCAAATTTCAGTTATGACTCGAAAACTGTTTTTTTAGGCAATATAATTATTTATAATAATTATAAAACAATTATGAACTTCTATTCAATATTTGAACAAAAAAATAAGCCATATAGCTAGGGAATGGAAATGAAATGGATTGAAATAATACCCAGCTGAATTTTATTGAGGAAAATGCAAATCAAATGTGCAAATTCTTGATAAAATAACACATCTTTCCTTATCAGAGTGAAACCCCTTAAAATAAATTGCCAAGACAAAAGGATTTGTGCCGAATTCGAATCAAAAGCAGAGCCTTCAATGAATTTGCTCCAACACGCACTATATATGGGCCCTGATGCTAACTCTCAATGCGTGCGCTTTTCTTTAGAGAATGAGCGAAATTCAATTATCCCTCCACGAGAGTGAAGCCTCAGCAGTGAGAAAGCGAGCGATCTGCGAGTTCTCGCAACAAAGAAATTAAACTAGAGGAGCGAACTGCCTTGTTTAGAAGAGAGAGTGAGTGGGTGTATCGCTGCGGTGTCTGTTTTGTTCGCTGGCAGGCACACCTGCAGAACTGCATTTCCCAGCAGCAGTGGTGCAAAAGCAATTTCCTTCTCCTCACGTTTCGCACACGTTTGTTTCAATTGAAAATTTGTGCTAACCGCGCGTATCGTCTCTGCACTCAAAGTGAGCTTGTAATGCATGAAACTCTAATTGAAAATTGCGTTTTGCGTGAGTAAGTTAGGAACTATGGTGCGTATTAGTATTGTACTTTGTTAAGTAAGTCACTTTTAAAGGAATCGCTTTATCAAACTTCTTTTTTAGATGAAAATGAACAATTTTTAATTTTTCTCAAACAAATATATCCATCTTTAAGAAATTTAATATATTTTTGGTACGAATTGATGTTGCAAAATGAACAATTGAAGAATCGAGTCAGGCTTTTTATACCTTCAGGACAAAAAAAGTGAGAGAACTCTCACAATTACAATTCCTCCAAAATATTGTACTGTGAGGAGCGTAGCCTGGTAGCCAATATAGAATGAATTTAGAGCGGTTCACAATCAGTTTAATGAAATAAAGAAAACCTGTGTGTTACATACAGTCATTTAACTTTTTTCACTATTATTTAATTTTCTAATCGATTAATTTTAATTGATACTCTTCATATATTTAACAAATTTACCAACAATGAAAAGATAAATCCCGTTGCTCACAATCAGATGCATTATTTCTATTCTAGCACACTAGCTTGCATCAAGGGGGCCAAACATTAGGCGATATTAGAGTTTTGTGATTAGTTTCTGTCGATTTTTGACGGCTGAACGGAACAAAAAATCAAAAGCATTAAAGACATCGACAGACCATTTACAAAGGCGCTCTCATAAAACGTGGGCCTGTCTTTCTGAAGGGCCATTAAGTCAGAATTAATATTTATCATCCTCCTTCAGGCCTTCCCGGCGACGAGAGAGACATGCCAGAAAGAAACACAAAAATATATAGGCCGAAGGGTTTTATATATGTGCTTTTACTTTTATGTCCCGGGGTCATTTTGCGATTTCCTCGTCCGGCCGGAATCACTCTGGTCCATTTTACGCTCTCGCATTATCACGTATTTACAGTGAAAAGCAGCTCACAGTCAGGTGCGTCCGTCCACCGCGCAATATTTCATTGTTTTACTGCTGGCCCATAAAACTCTCGGCCAGACTTAGTTTTGCCGGCGAGCCCTCTGACGTGCTTATGATTCTTCTCCATCTCGGCTCGGGCGGCGCGTGATTTTTCTCTCTTTTCCCTTGGCCAAGTGCTCGGCTCTCCATCTCGCTCTCCTTCTGCTGCGGATATTTTCGCGAGGAGCACGTTTCGCTTTGATTCAAATTCGGAATGGAAAGCGTGCCAGGCGAAGAGGGACTGCCCGTGGGCCAAAGGTCAAAGCGGAATCGAGCCCAATGGCAATTTTTGTCCGGGAGAGCCGAGTGGGTGGGTGGCCGGCCTTTTTTATTTTGCACGAGACGAGTGCCGCCCTCCTGCTTTGATGAAAAATTGAACTCGTGCAAATTGGAAGGGGCCTAGGTGTGTATTTGCGCGTCAGTTTGCAGCAGTCAGTCAGTTCTGCTGGTGGCGTGCAATACGGGCCTTTAGACAAGTTTTTTTTTTGAAAGAGCAAAAAGAGACCGGTAGATCAAAAAGATTTTTTTTCTACTTTTCCATCATTTCATTAAATTTAAACGTCTGGATTGGCTTCAAGTTTATTAATGGTTTTAAAAAAAGAAAACATCTGCAATAATTATGAAATCAATTAAGAGTTCTTTTTTAAGGTTACGATTTTAAATTTTTCAAGATCAATTTAACAAGAAGAAAAAATATTTCTGGATAAAAAAAATCATAAATAATCATGAAAAATTACATTTGATAATAAAAATTTGTGCTTTTATAGGATATAAAAATAAACATAATCTGTTAATCCTTTTTGAATTATGGGCGGGCTCTGTTCTCGGTTTGAATATTCAGACGCAGAGAGAATAAATGCCGTGCGGCGGCAGCTAATACTTAGTAGCGAATAATTCATACATTATTCCCGAAAATCCTGTCTGGTTTTGGTAATCCGCTTAAATATTTCATGCACTCGCGGGAGAAGAGCGGAGAGAAACGCGATACTCTCCGCACTGGCCGCCGCATTCATATTGCATGCTAAATAGAATATAAGAAACCGCGAGCCGTCCCGACCGCCAACCCACGCACGCATGCAAAAAGGATTCTTTTTTTGCTGGCGTGCGTGCGCCGCAACGGAAGGGTTTTCCGCCTTGCTTTGGGAAATGAGAAATTTGAGAGCATGACATGAGCATTTTTGCACGGAAATCGTATAAGGAAAGGCCGGCCCGAGTATCATGAAACCGGAGGCAACCACTTCTTGAATCATGTTAGTATTTAATATGAATCTGCTACAATGCATTGAAAAAAATTTTAAAAAAATTCTCAATAAACCTTGTTTTAAGGCAAAAATTACTTTCAATTTAAAATTTTTTGGCAGAAATTAATTGCACACGCTTTTGTGATTTTTTTTAATTGTTAGGCAACCGGCAATACTTGATTGCAAGACAAATTGCCTAATTCAAAGAAATATTATACTTTATAAACCAGTAAGAACCAGTAGCCATTATAAATTTTTTTAGTTTCATTTTATAAAAAAAATAGTATTATAATAATTCTGTTAAATTTCAAATGCACTAAAATAATGTTTTTTGTGTGTGTGAAATATCAACTATCAACTATTTAGATTCAAATATTTTTAATTGACAGTGAAAATAAATGTTTCACGACTAATGTGACATAATTTAATTTGCGAGAGTCTTTTTTAGTTTGTAAATTTCTTTCTCTACGAAAATATTGACTTTCATATTTGGTCTTGTGAATGGAAATGGAATTCTATAACAAATCTTTTTAGTCATTAATTTTTTTATTTTTAATTAATTTAAACTTAACCAAACTTGCACGATGTATCCACTTTTTTTCAATTTGGTATGATCAACAAATTTGAAAAAATGTATCCATTTTTCAACAAAATTGTCAAGCGTTTATTAATTAGAGTTTTTTGCTTCAACACAATAGAAGCTTTTTATATTGAACGTGCGTGCTTAGCTTTTGTGAAAGGTTTTGTAGGCAGCGTTCGATCGCGATGGAAACCATTTTTCATCATAATTATCATCGCCGTCAAGCCTCCTCTCCGTGTCGAAACAAAAACCACGTTCTTTAGTTGCTTCCAGGCTAATTATTTCACTAATTGCGAGTTAATAATCGCAACAGGGCATAAATCGCATGTCAGACAAGAGGCCGTGGATGATCACATGGCAAAAATAAATTGCACTTGACGTATAAAAATTTCTGACAATAAAAAATTAATCCCTTTCAAAAGGCGCCGCTTTTAGATACAAATGGCGCTTTTTGCAATTTATTCAAATTACGCGGAAAAACGCAATTAGTCAGTTGGAGGCAAAAAGTGGCGCCGCCGTCAGACGTCTCTCCCGAGCAGTTTATTTTCATTCCAGCGCGGCATAATAATTTAAATGAAGACTAATCTTTATTATTGCAGCCGCCACACCACAGTGCGTTTTAATTCCTGGCCAAACTGAATTAAACGCGGATAGGGCTCGCCTAAGGAGGCGGGCGTTTAAATGACCTTAATTGTCAAAGAGACGCCGCTTTTATTTTATTCTTATCTTTCAGCGCGCTACCCGTCGTAAACTCTGCGTATTAATGAGCACGCATTAGCGACCACGATGATGTCATCAGTCATCACGCACAGACCCTTAGGCCATACATATATTTGCGGGCTTTCTTTCAACTCTAAAATTGATATCTTGCAGTGGAGTGAACCAGAGTGAACAAATAATATATTAATAAACTTCTGCACAAAATTTTACAGTCACCAATTTTCCAATCATGTTTTTGCGATCATTTTGAAGTTGAAAATTGGGTTTTTTTTTATGTTTTTGTAATTTTTTTTTACATTGCATCTCATGAAAATTTTCCTGAATTGAAAAAAAATAATCGGCTGGCTTTACCTTAAGATCTGGCAAAGTTTTCCAATAAATAATGGAAAGTCAAAATTAAGTAAAAAAGAGCTCACTAAAGCGTCATGATTTTTAGTTGATTAGAGATAAGAGTGTTGATTCAAGTTACATTATTTCCTAAAATGGGCAAAAAAATCTTATTTACTTCCTTGCCAGTATGTGGCGTGTTTTTTGCTGTGTTATTTAAAAAGAGGGAGAGAACGCGGCGCACTTAAAATTTAGCCAGACCGAGCATGGTTGATTGTGCTTTTGCTAAAACTGCTTATTCGCTGCTCAACAAAAGAAGTAATAACACCAAACGCATTAAAAAATATAATTCTTGCAGGTATTTGATTTAGTTAAGAAATATTAGAAATAATATGCCATGTCCAGAATTTTAGATTAGGATACCACATCTATTTGATTTTAATTAAATTAAAATCAGTATTGGCCAGGATGGGAAGCAAAGAGGAAAGGTTTTTCACGTTTGTCATTATTTATTTTGCGCCTCACCTCGTCAACATAATCCTGATTTCGATTCTGTTGAGGCTCGTTTGCCTCATGCGAAGGGAAGTGGCCCAGCTGGAAAATAATTTCATGAAGCAAGTTGATGCCCCTGAAAATACTAATCTCACTCTGGAATCGGAGGCGGACTACGATGAAGTGGGAAATACAAATTCTGAGGCCAAAAAGACCAACGAACCAGAATCGTCTAATGATAGAATCAGTAAGGAGAAGCCAAGGGATTATGACTACGTCTACACACATGGCCGATTCTCCAACGCTCGCCGTAAACCGTAAATGGCAAAAATTAAAAGAAAAGAAAAATCAAATGGCGTAAAATTGTATCTTTTTACTTTTATTGATGAAGAGGTGTCGTCTTACTGAATATGTATTATATCATAGTTTTTGATCCTAGATTTAATGATGTTCTTAAAGTTATATTTTTTTAATATTGTATTAATTTTGTTATTTATTTCATTAATAATTAAAATTTAAAAATATAAATTATAATTAATTGAAGACATCATTATTTTTGTTGCATATAGTCTTGCTCTTCCTATTTTAAATATGAAAATTTAGGCCCTTCTTGTTAATTAATAATGATTGTTCAAATATAAAAAATTTGAAAAAATTTAAATTTATAAAAAATGAATTAGTGAAGTGTACTAAAATTGGATACATTTGTATTGATAGCAAGTTTAAAAAATAAATTGATAATTTGTTTTTTAATTAAAATATTGGAATTGAAAGTTTTTAAGTGTGCTACAAGAAAGGAAAGTAAAAATGAATTAATATAGAGTCAAATAAGCGGCATGTTTTTGATAATTTGAGATAATATACTTCCTTCAAATAAGGCAAGAAAAATCTCATTTACTTCCTAGCCAGTGTAATAGTCTTGTTAAATACTGTGCTATCTTAAAAGAAGGGGAGAAAATCCAGCATTTACTTCTTTTAGAAGCAGAGACTGGAAAAGGTTGATTGTGCTTTTGCTAATTCGGTACACGAAAAACGAAGTAATTATTCCATCGAACGCATCAGACACTACATTTCTTTGCAGGTATTTGTAATAGAACTAAAGGACAAGTAATCCTTAATTTTCCATGTATAATTTTAGATTCGGATTGCACAGTTATAAAGGGTTATAAACGAATTCGAAATGATATTGGCCAACGTGACAGAGAAGGAAAAAGTAATTATTTTTTTGTTTGCCACTCTCTACATAGCACCACTTTTGATCACCGTTGTCTTGGTTGCGATTATGATGAGGCTTGTTTGCATAGTGCGAAGGGAAGTGGCTCTTCTGGGAAATAAATTCATGAAGCAAGTCATCCCTGCCAATACTTATGTCACACTGGAAACAGACTATGATGAAGTTGGAAATACTAATTGCGAGGCCAAAAAGACAAACGAACTAAAATCGTCTGATGAAATGCTCAGTAATGAGCCACCAAAGGACTATGATTACGTATATACGCATGGCCGTTTGTAACTCTCGCCACAAACCATAGACGATTTCTAAATAATTCAAATATTTGAAGAATAAAGAATCTTTAGGCTTATTCCATGTTATTTTAATATTATATATTATATTTGTTGAAGAGGTAATACTGAATTTTTCTTACGTGCACAGTTACTAATCCTCATTAAAATTGTTTATCGTGGAGTAATGATGTTTTATGATTGCTTATATTTTTAATGTATACTTAATAAATCTACTTGTTTGCAAAAAATTTTAATTTAGCAATTAATATTGATTTATATTTAATATTTTAATATTCTTGCATTCCCTAGTTCAAAAGTAGAAAAAGTCCACAAAAGAAAGGAGGAAGGACTGGAAGGATCCATCAAGCAAAACGTATTACTTTTCATTCTATTCTTAATAAAAAATATTGGTTTGGGATGCAGTCGATGCTATCATAGCGTACAATTTTATATCCATTGATCCTCTGACTTCTTTCCCTAATTTCCCTTCTCCTGAGAGTTTTAACTTTTGAGTCTTTTTTTCCGAAATTGGTTAACTTCATGATTATATTCATGTAAAATGAAATGACTAATAAGGCCTCTTGGGTTGGAATGTACATCTGGAAACTGGATTATTTTTTTCCTTTATACAGAATTCATGTTAAATTTTTTATTTACTTCCGTGATGTTTTATCGGTCGAAATAGTTGATAAAAACACAGCCTATTTTCTTCACAGCCGCTCAGCGGAGGCTTTGAATCAATTGCAATATTTATTATGAGTTACTCAACGGACGAAGGAACCACTCCAACCATCAACTTGATTTTCAATAGAAGATTATTCAAATCAAGCACACCTAGTTAAGGTATTACTTCAAGGAAATTGGGAAATGTTTCAGCACAAGTTTCCAAATAAAAATGTAATTACATTTTTAGAGTCACCGTGGAACAGAGTCACTGCTTTACCAATGGGAATGGCGAGTTCAAACGAAGGTTTCTTGATCGCTGTAGTCCTTGCACTTGTCATTGTCATCATAGTGCTGATTTTGGTGGTGATGTGGCTCGTTTACCTCTTGCGACAAGACATGGTTCGTGGAAGAGGTAAGAGCTGCACCATGAACCAAATTGTGTCTGGCCATATGAACCCGGAAGTTGAATCAACCTATGCCGAAGTGAAGATTTTCAATAATGATGTCACTGATGTGAAGACTGCAGACAAAGTTGATGACACCTTGATAATGAGCGCCCCCTCTCCCTCTAATGGCATCAAAGGTGGCAAGGAGACTTATGACTATGTGTACGCTCATGGCCGATTCTGCAATGCCCGCTTCAATCCAGATCTGGTTGTGAAAGCTAACGATGCTAAGATTTGAATATTTTTTAAAACGTTTCTCACTTTCTGCTAAAATGGTATCAAATTGTTTGGTTTGGATCAATTCTACTATCTACTTATTTCTTGTATAAAAAAATGCGCTCTATATATTACTCGATTTTTTTTATTTTCATAAAATAATTTTCATGTATCGATTTCTAGAATATTTAAACAGCATAAATGTATTGTATTATTGTCTACGATATTAACATAAATGATAATTTAAATATTTATAAAAAAATTTTAATTGCCACCGGCTTTTTTAATAAAAAAAATCACTGCATTTATTTCTGCTGATTTTTTCTTCTGAATTGCCACTCATATATATTAGAATTTCAATTCCTTTTTTTATTGATTTTATCCTTACTAAATTTATCTGCAAGCTCTGCCTTCCCGATATCCAAAATCAATATTGCGCTCGCAGTTGATATTAAATCCAGCGCAGGCCTTACATTCTCTACGCAAGCAAAATTACACTCTAAGTTTAAAGCAGGTGCTTAGTCTCAGGCGCAACTTCTTGCGTCGGCATTAGTGTGCGAGCGGATAATAAGCCCTTTTATTTATTCCACGTCAATTTATGTGACAGCCCTAACTTTTTCGGTGGCCACCGAGGGGTGCGTGTGTTATCGATAAAAAATGCGCCCCGGCGAAATTAGCGAGCGGCGTCAAAACGGGACGGCCGATTCTCCGTAAGCGCTTTTATTGGTTGTAATTTATCTGCGAAGCGAGAGATTTGAAACGGAAAAAAATGTGAGGGCGGCGGATTATGGAATGGACGTTGGGAGCAGGCTCGCTTTTAACCCTTTCACAGGCAGGGTAGGGGACTCTGCATGTGCTGTGAAAAGCGCACAAGAGGACCAGCCGATCAGAGGCGGAACTAGAGTCATGCGAATCTTTTACGCTAATTGAATTTTCAGCTTCGTTTTCTTCGGTTTTCTTGAAAGTTTTTTCTTTAATTCCTGTACAAAAAATTAATTATAAAAACTGTTAAAAGAATTTCAAAAGACAGGAATTACCATTAAATAAGTAGTAATTTGTTATAGCAATTAATTAATTACAAAAAGTATTATTAAATTTATTTTCCTCCAAAGGGAAAAACAAAATATTACTATGACTGTAGTCATAATATTAAATTTGAAAGTGAATTAAAATTAACTTTACAATTTAATATAATGATGCCTAAATAAGTAAACGCTTCACCTATAAACACAGAAAATAGAATTTTCTTTATTATTTTATTTTTTCCTTTTAATATCTCTTCTTTAATACCTTGAGGCTCGCATTTCATTTTTTCTGTTTTCTGTTTTGAAATCGAAAATTTATTCACTTCTTCTTGGAAAGGGTGGCTTTAGTTTTAGGGGTTGCTTTTTTCACTCTTTTCTGTAATCCACATTGTGAAATGTTGAGCTGATTTTGGATTTTTAAACTGGAAATGGAAGTGTAGTTTGACCTGTTAGCAAACGTCACACGAGTATCAAATAACTTTTATTATAATATAAGGACAATATAAAATTTTCTGTTGCGGTTTCTGTTTTGGGTATTGAATATCATATTAATTATTATTCGACGATCAATATTCCATAGCTGTACCAAATATAGCTTTTTAATCCATATCATTAAAACATAAAGATTTTAATTTTAGAATTTGTTCTTATTCAAAATCGTAACAGAAATTTTGAACTATAATTTATAGACCAGTGTAAGGAAAATCACCGGAATCGCCCCTGTTTGTAGCTGTTCAGTGTAACACCACTGGAAACACCGCACACCACGCTCTCCTCTCGGTCGCTCGGGCGCCAGATAAACAAAATGCATTTTTCAAAAGGCGACGGAGCCGCACTAATAAATCTCTTGCCCTCAGCAGCCGTGCTCGATTGATTTTCTCTCTCTCGTTCCGCGGCACGACAGACTAGCGGAATAATTTATGCATGCTGGGACATGATAGCGGCGTTAATAGCGAGACTGCAACCCCCTGCGGGCGAACTGGCGAGTGCAACTCACTTCATCAGCACTTCTTCTTCTTCTTCTCGGGTCGACCCTCGGTGTCCGTCCGTCTGTCGGTGCAAAAGAAAAAGGTCCCTCTGTCTCTATTGATTCCACGGGCTGCCGTGCAAATTGAGTGAAAACAACTCTGAGATTCAACTCACCAGCAGGCAGGCAAAACTACACACACTAGACGCTTTCTGAATCGGTAAATACTCGAAATGCAATCAATAAAAGTTGCCGGGGCGCAGTCGAATGACCTCTTTTCGTTCTTTCCGGTGCCACTGGCGGATGCACCTTTTGTGTGTATTTTTTTTTAAGTTGCCAATTCGATTCGGCGCCCTCCCGTTTTTACTACGCAACGCGCTCCGTGAATGAGAAATACTTCCGTATTGGTTTTTCCAGAGCTCCTGGGAAAAGTGAACCAAACGTGAGGAAAATTCAAATTAAGCCAACAATATTCAAAATTCACTTGCTTTGTTTGGCAATTTCCCTAGATAAAATTAAATTGCAAAAAAATTATTTAACTTCATGTTTGTGGAAGCTGGAAGGGTGTAAAAAATCTTTGAAATAGATATTAATGGAATTTTTATGATAAAATTTTGGAACTCATATTGAAGTGTAACTTTGAACGATAATTACTCTTAATTGTTTTTTTTTTATCTGAAAGTACTTTTGATAGAAATAGCACGCTCTGGATGGATTTTATTTTCATTCTAATCAATTTCTCAGTAGGTTATCAGTAGTTTATAAATTTTTTAAAGACCTGTGCAAATATAACTTTTAATATTATTATATGCAGTTGTAATTTAATGAAATCTCAAAGGTAAATTAAAAAAAAAACAGGATAATGATTAAAAATTAAAAAAAAAATGTTACGTAATTTTAATTTTATATTATAATTATATTAATTTTCAATTATTAAAATGAAGATTTAAATTAAAGCTATGTACGCTACCTAAAGTTTATCATTACCTTTTATATTTTATTTTTTAAGATTTTCAAAGTAATATTTAAATCTTTGCTTTGATGGGCAGTTATCCTTTTTCATTATTCGATTTTATGAAGATAAGACATCATCGAAATTATCATCTTCAAATAAAGTCACAATCTCTTTGAAAACAGCCAAATTTTCGCACAAGAGAAGACAGCCAGACTACTTTGCGGGCGAACTGAACCGCCGCTAGCTATGGAGGTGTTTTCGCCGCCAGGTGAAATATTCAGCGAAACACTTCATAAATTTCTGGATATACGCACGCACAAATGCTGCAGTACCGCTCCAGCCAGCCACAAAACTGACTACCCAAGCTCTCGTCGGGCCGGCGCTGCGAAAAGCAGACAGCATAAAAAATTCAATACAAATTTTATGATACGGGCCTCTCTTGACCTCGGCATTGTGCGCCGAAACTACAGTTCGTTCGCTCTCGTCTTTTCTCAAGAGACCTCCGTACATGTAAAAAAAATTATTAGTCGTCGTCGCAAGTTTTATTATTACACTTAAAAAATTTTAGTGCACGCCGGCCAATTTGATCCATTTGAGCTGCTTGCACTTTACTGCCTATAATTATTTTGTGTCTCGTTTTAGCCAGCCTGCCTGAGCCATTATTACCTCCAGGGGGCGACTCAAATTTCCTTCCACTCGACGCCTCGGCAGACACGCAAAATTTTTGTGGTCGCCTGATGCGCCTCGGCTCGCGGTTTATCGATCTCCCTAGGCTAATTCTTTTTTAATTCTATTGTGTTACGCTAAAAAAAAAACTAATCTCCATTCAAATAGTGGTTTAATTTAGCTGAAAACAAAACCCGTGCAGCTGAATAACGTATAAATTATTTTAAATTAAAAATAAACAGCTGAAATTTTAATAATTATTAAAAAATGTGAAACTTCATATTTAGCTACTAAAATCTTTTCCTTTCAAAGAATTGAGTAAATTATTTGTCCTCTTATATTTCAAGTTGGTTGCTAAATCACGCCACGGATATCCTGCTTCTGTTTATCAAAGATTTCTTTATTTAGTTGATCAATTTATTTGTTGTTGTTATAGAAATAGTTTTTCCTACAGAGATTACATGAAACCTGCTGACACTTAAATACAATTTTAAATTTTCTTTACCACAAGCCATAATTATAAAATCATAATATGAGAAATATTTATAGTGAAAAATGGACTTTTATCATTTCGCCCACAGACACAATTTCATTAAAAATTACAATCGCAAAATGATCATTAAACTGAAAAAAACTGACATTGTAAAAACTAGAAAACTAGTTAAATTAGAATCATATTCCTGGCCTTTTTTTATCAGGACAGTTCAAAATTTGCTTTTCATTAATTAATATCCAAGCTGGCACACGAAAAATTAGCTTTCACAAGGATGCACTGCAAAATTTCAGCACAACTGTCGCCTCTTTATTACACCGGTCTCTTTTTCACTAACAAAATCTGTCTGTGGTTCATGTGATAAACTGGTGTTTGCTCACATTACGGAAAATATTTAATTTAAAAGCCGTTAAACAAAAAGAGGCGCCGGCTGCAACTCGTTTTGCAATTCGCGTTGTAAATATACATACAATACATAACAATGGTGGCGGATGGAAAACAAAGCAGAGAGAGAGAAACTATGACTGTGCTCATGCATTGTGCTTAATGGAAATATTTAAATTTCATAAAACACGCCAACCGACGACGACCCTCGGCTTTCTGTGTTCTGCGCCCGTCCCTGTTATTTAATGAAAGCGGCGAAGAGCAGACACAGAGCAAGCCGGAGAGGAGCAGCCAGCGCTAAACTAATTAAATATACATCGGGTCTGATTATTTCAGCTCAACTGTGTGTATAACAGGCATCCAGGGTGAAAGAGAGGGAGCAACATAAGCGTGAATTTGAGACGCGCTACTGCCCTCATTATGGAAAGTATCCATCAAAAGCTGCTGCAATTCTTTCCTCAATAATACATCAGTTGAAGGCAATGAAATTTTAAATTATTGCGTTGAAGTGAGAGTTGTTCAAGCTTTGCCGTGTTTTTAACAGCCGAAATAGAATAATTTTTTTTCATCTTGACCCAATACATTTTGCAGTTCAGTACTCTAAATGATTTTTACCAAAGATTTTCGGCCGTTTTTTTTAAGATTTAGCAAGCGTAGAAATTTTCCTCAGACTGTATTAAATTGAAAAATAAACATACATTTATTTATTTCACCAGATTTCCAAATTTCTCAATAGATCTGTATAAAAAATTCGTTAAAATCTGATATATTTCCAATCGACAAATTTGAATTTTTAAAAATAATTGGAATAT